CCCCAAAACCCCAAAACCCCTTGAATATGAATTGATGGATGATAATTAAGAATAAAATTATTTATCAATTAATAAAATCCTTTTTGCATTGTTCTATCATATCACCTTTGTATTAGTTCTTGTCTAAATGACTTAAGAAATTATTGAAGCTGCATCTTTTGTGAATGAATAGCTCATCTTTGCTAAGCTTAGATTCATTTTGGCAGGTATCAAAGCTCAATTGCTTTCCATTGAAAATTACTTATACCCAGAAGCAATTTTATTTATCGTTTTCAGTTTTGGTATTCTTTATACAATCATCATCATAGTATAGTTCAATGTAGAATGTGGAGCCATATGGAATCTGATAAACATCTCCGATTTCTATTGGATTTAGTAGAGTCAGAACATTTGCTATTTAAACATCATGTCCTGAGTAAATCATATATCGTAAAGTACTTTGATCTTTATCGCCATTTGATATTTCATCAATCCTTTTCATAATGTTCTAAATTGGCATCTCAAGTAACTTAGAGACAAATAATTTTCTTGTGATGTCCTAAAAATCAAGGACAAGAGTAAGATATTATACATAGCAGTTATAGTACTACTATTCTTCAGAAAAATTAAATCTTTTAGGACAAGTATTTTCAGCCTCCTCCCCTAATAGAATGTCAGAGTATTCGTATAAATCTGTAAAGTTCATAAATCTAGCTTTAAATTTATTCAATTTGAATGCCTCCGTATAAGGCTGTCTTAATTGAGCAAGAAGCATTTCATTATACCCTTCATAGTATGCAGGGTTATACCAAGCACTATTGTATTGCTGGCCAGCATATGGACACCCAGTTTCAGTTATATTATCCTTCAGATTTGGTTTGAGAAAGTTGTAAACAGGTAATAATGTAATGTTATCAAGCACATCAGATTCTTTAAGAATGTTCTCTATCTTGTTCCTGATTTTAATCTTTGGCATGCCTTTGCCTACTTTTAAACTTTCAACAGAACTGCTAGGAAGTTAAGTCTTTTTGTTTTGAGTGCTAAACGTTCCGAGTAACTCAGCATAGCTACTTTAAATAACTCTGAAAACATTAGTGGATTGTACTTATATTTGTGAATAATAAAACTACTCGTTTAAGAAACCAGGCTAGTTTTCAATGTATTTTTCTCGGTTAAGCTTACCAAGAAAGTATCGCTACCTCATTCCTGAGGCAGTAAGCATACCATCTCCTACTTAAAATTAGCACTAAGGAGATGAAACTAAAGGTGCTCTCGCACCATGTCTAACTAATTCGAAAACAAATCCCAATTTCTCTGCCTACTAAGTAACGAATAGCAATAAACTCAAATAAATTATCAAAGGAATTTATTATCTCATTTTTACTTTACTTTTAAATATTAAAATGATTGGATTATTATTAATATAAATTATATATATTGAGTTCCCTTTTAAAAGTAAATTGATACAATCCTCAATTAATGTTGGGAGTTAATGACCAATAATTTCAAAATTTCCTAATAAACCAAGGTGTAGCATAAAGTTTCATTGATAAATGTGAGGAATAAGGAATATCCTCATTTGATGATTTTAATGAGTTGAATATTGATTAAATGAAGGAAATTGGTTTTAATATTGGAGATCAAAATAGGATCAAAAGATTCTTGGCAAAGTATATTGCATAAGTCTAAGAATAAAAACCTCAGGAAAATTTATAAAATGAAAATATTGTTGGTATAGCTATGTTAGAACAAGAGGTTTAAGAAATCAATAGTTTAGTAAATCTTGAGAATTAAAATCCTGAATTAAATGCTAAAATTTTAGGAAAGACATTATTCCATGAAAAGTAAAAGGAATTATTTGAGAAAAGATTACAAGTCTCCATTAGAGATGATTAAAAAATTTTCGCAGCAACATAATTGCCTTTTTTATCTGCGATTTTATTTGAAGAATTAAAATCTGAGGGTCGTAATAATAGTTAAAAACCATTATAGGATTGGAAACTAGTAGCATTAATTTTTGGTTTTTAGGTAGGCGTAGAAATTGGTCAATATTACAAAGGAGAAATTTCTGGGAAAATGCTTGCAAGAAGAATTGCAATAAATTCTATTTAAATGGGAGCTAATGCAATTTTTTTCAATTAAGGAGCGGAAAAATGCGCAAAAGGATGCTAATTTATTTTCTTAGAAGCAGGCAAACATTTAAATGCACCTTTATCAACGGTATGTCCTATGTTAGGTACTTGGGTTGGAGAGTATATTGGATTATTCGCTGCTGTGTATGGATCCATAATAGTTAGGTGTTTGACCGGTCTGTTAGCAGATTTAGTTTGTGATACCTATTCAGATGTTGAGTTCATTCACAAAAATAAGATGTATGAAAATAGTCTATAGATTCTAAATGTAACAAAAACAACAGAAATGAGCGCTATTAAAGCTGAAAAGAAACGACTTTGGGTTATCTACCACCCTGACAAAAACAAAGGCAATGAAGAATGGGCAAAAGAGAAATTTAATACAGTTACCATTGCTTTCGAATGCATTAAAGCTTACAGAGAAGTTAACAATATATTTTATTGATACAATTGATCTC